TCTCACAATCAGTGTTCATACAGTTTTTATAGGTAACTTTTATTTGCTCCAAGCATCACCTGTCTGATTTCATTAGTAAAGTTACATGAACTTTTTAATTGAGGTAAGTGTGAAGCTAACAAGCACATACTTGCTTATTTGCCTGTAGGTTTTGTGTTTTCTTAAAAGAAGCATACTTTGAGGGCAAATAGGAAGTTGTGTTTCAGTTTGCAAGAGAGAACCGGACCTGTGACAACAGCAGCAACACAAGACCAGTGGCGAGCGTTCATTGTGTGGGCACTCTGTGGAGGGTCAAGGCTGCACGTGTGAGTGCGGAGCAGCGTGGGCACCCAGAACTGGCTGCAGAGCCCGCCCTTAGCCCATCGTACCGCCTCCTGTGGTTATGCTTTGTCCCATGCGGTGCTTTAAATATTTGTGACTAGCAGCTGTTATGGCCAGCGTTTAAACATTAGAAGATTTCACATGAAAATCTGGATGTTTTGTTTCCTTTGACATGGGGGAGGTCTGTCCACACTGGGCCCACGTTGCCCACACGACAGCACCTGGTGTGCCCCCGTTTCCCACTCCTCACCGCCACCTCCCCTCGCTCTCCCGTTCACCCCACTCTCCTGGCCCTGTAGACGTTTCGTTGGTGATGGGACCCCTAGTCCAGGGTCACAGAAAGATTTGATCTAGCCCTTCATTTTGTAAAACAATATGCTTTTGTTTTACTTATTTTTCGAAGTAGATGAAAAAGCAAAGTTGCTCTTTACCCTCTATCCCTGCTCAGGGTAGTAGCTGGTTCATATCTTCTAGACTTTTTGTGCTCGTATAAATATGTATCTTTGTATGTACTGCAGATATTTTTTTTTCCAAGAAAGCAGTATAACCCTATGTTTATTCTACGATGGGTGGGCAGTGTTCTCTACTTTGAGTCTGTCGTATGGGTGTGCTCGATTCCATTTGACAGCTATGTGCTGTTGTTACATTGCATCATACCATGACTTATTTAACCAGTTCACACTTGGCGTCAGCCCTTTTGTCACGACCCTGGTAAATAGGCTTTGATAGCTCCCTTGCTCTCTGGTACAACAGGCCGGGTAGGCTTCCTCTGCATCTGCTTCAGACTGGGAGTCCAGGGTATCTGGCAGGAGCCCTCACTCCTCCTGTTGGAAACTGGGGTTCTAGGACCACAGTCTGGGCACTGGTGTTGCTCTTTGCGCCTGAAACAGCTGGTCACCGTTTTAGTTCCTCAAACAGATAGAGCACCACACGCGCGCGCACGCACATCACAGGTTCATACTGATACTGATACAATTCACATTCAGGATTTCAGATTTTTATTTAATCTCCTCACACTTATCACAGGTAATAATTTTTAAAATTATGTGGCTATATAGGAATCTTTGCTTGTTATGGGAAACTAAAGTATGTATTTATTTAAATACAAAAAATGTGCGTTGAACATAAAAGAATGTGATTTGGGGAGACCACTTGAGTTCCCTAAATGACAGGGAGCATAGATATGAATGACACCTAGAGGCAGAATACCTATTAATTGGTGACATTTTAAGTTGAAGAAAAGTTGAGATTTTCAAATTTTGATGGCTCCAGTTTTCTCAACGAAGTTCGAAGAAGGCAAGGCTTTGACTATGACTGGTCAGCAAGATGTTGCCAGAGGCTTAAAACAGTGAGAAACTTCCAAACCCCATGTTTTATAGGGAAAAGTACAGTGGGTGAGCAGCACTCGGGGTCCCAGGAAGCATCAGGTAACAGATACTTGAGCGGGATTAGCCAGGTCAGTTTTATGAGTTTTTTCCTATCAGTATCATTCAGTATATAGCTCAGGAGAAAAAACGGATGAAGAAACTGGTTGACTGCACTGGTTTTTATGTTCACATAAGGGGCTACCTGGTTTTACAGTCTTTCTTGAATTTTAATAATGTTCTGGTTTTCTCAGTGTAGAGATAGTTGTGAGTAATACCATTTATAACCTTAAAAATAAGAGTTCCTATCATTTTAATAAAAAATATATGATGGCCCTGGCTGGTTTAGCTCAGTGGTTAGAGCGTTGGCCCACGGACTGAAGGGTCCCGGGTTCGATTCCCGCCAACGGCACGTACCTCGCTTGCAGGCTCGACCCTGGGCTCGTGGTGGGCCACGTGCAGGGGGCAGCCAGTTGATGTGTCTCTCTCACACTGATGTCTCTCTCTCCCTTCCTCTCTCTCTGAAAAGCATTGGAAAAAATATCCTTGGTGAGGAGTAGAAAATATACACAGTGGTGCCTCGGTTTTCGAACGTCTCCGTTGACGAACATTTTGGTTTACGAACACCGTAAACCTGGATGTAAATGCCTTGGTTTCCGAACACGCCTCGGAAGTGGAACACGCCACGGCTCCCGCGGAGGGCGAGATCCTGAGGCCCAGCTCTCGGCTGGTGATCCCTCAGTTTCCGAACGTTTCAGAGCTAGGTCTTCCGGAGCCGATCGCATTCGAAAACCGAGGGACCACTGTGTATATATATATGATGAAAAAGATAAACTTAATTCTATTTCTGCTATATTTTTTTGAAAAGTTACAATTTCGTTTTAGTTCTTGTTATGGTTTTCTAATACTTTAGAACTTTTTGGGTCTATTTTGAAATGTTAAATTATTGTCAAGGTAACTTTTCCTATAAAGTTATGATTTTTGTAGATTNATACTTTAGAACTTTCTGGGTCTATTTTGAAATGTTAAATTATTGTCAAGGTAACTTTTCCTATAAAGTTATGATTTTTGTAGATTTGTCAGCAAATTATAGAGAATAATAGATTATAGCTATGACCTCATGTATGCTCTTTTAACCTTTGTTGAATTTTTGTTAGTTTTCTGAATTTCCAGATCCCATGTGGGGCTCCGACTATGTGCAGTTGTCCCGACCGCCACCCTCTTCAGAGCAGAATTGTAGCACTGTGTCTTGGGAGGAGCTCAAGTCCATGGACTTACCCTCATTCGAACCTGCCTTCCTAGTCCTCTGTCGAGTCCTCCTGAATGTTATCCACGAATGCCTGAAGTTAAGGCTGGAGCAGAGACCTGCTGGAGAACCATCTCTCCTGAGTATTAAGCAGGTTTGTTTCAAAGACTGTTTAAAAACATATAGCAATCATTATGTTATTCTACAGGCTCATAATTTTTATTTTTAGGACTTTCCCCCTAATTGTTGCACAAAGTGAAAAGTGAGTATATGTTAGTGTTTTCAAGCTGCTCTTTTTAGGGTAATTGAAAATATCCTTTACATGCAGTCCTCAAAGATAAGATTGTGGTTCAACCTTTCTGTTACTCACTTCCTTGTCTAAGAGGATGTGAAAGTATGGTGATGATACAACCTCCTATATCCTACTAATATTGTTCTTTGAAGACTAAAAACTTAAAATTAGATCATTTAAGTTCTTTGAATTTATTTTTTCATTCCTTTTAAGCAATATGCAAACAAATGTCTTTAGAGTATGCAGAGGGGAGGTATTGGGACTTTTTTCCTGCTTAAGCAATGTGTAGCTTAAACCGAGTCGCAGCTTCTGGTTTCTCAGTTGTTCGTTTTGGGTGAGATGTATGGCTAGAAGCAGTTGTATCTAGCAGAGTGAGTACTGAAGGGGGTTAGTACTTAGCTTCATGACGGTAGCACATTGACAGTCACTGTGTGAAGTAGACATTGCAGACTGAGAAATAAGTTATGTTTCTGTAGACTGTGCATATCCGTCCCTGGAGATTGAAGAGCTAGGAGCTCCTTGTCTCTGAAGGACGGGATGGAGCTTAGGGGACAAGAGTGGCTGAGGAAGGCCAGGTGCAGGGCAGGTACAGCAGGACTTGGATTTGTTAGGGGTGTGGGTTAGGTAACTAACGGAGGCGGAGGTGGGTGCCTGCACCTAATCAGCCCTGCAGTTCCCATCTAGCTGCCCCCAGAGCTGGTGCCCACCTCACCTCTACTTCCCCCTTTTTGTCGTGGTTCCCGTAGTCATGTGTGGTTTTCACTTGCCCTCCACATTGCCGCAGTCATTTAGCAAGTTTTGGTAAAACACTTGCTTCCCTTCCCCACAAAACAAATACTTCAGGAACATAACCCTGTAAAATAAGGTGGAGTTTATTTTTTGCTATTGTGAGGATTAAAGAGTTCTTTATGTTAAAACAAACAAAAAAAATACATTACTTAGATTAATGTAGCATTACTGGAGTAAAACTAAAGTAGAAATTTTGACTTAAATGCATTCAAAGTTGTAGTTGTAAGCACATAAGTGACATCTTTAGAATGGAAATTTATGTCTAGATAATCTGAATAGAACACTTTTTTTTTTTTTTTTTTAAATATATCTTTATTGATTTCAGAGAGAGGAAGAGAGAGAGATAGAAACATCAGTGATGAGAGAGTCATTGATCAGCTGCAGCCCGCAACCTGGGCATGTGCCCTGACCAGGAATTGAACCCTGATCGCCTGGATCCGTGGTCGACATTCAACTGCTGAGCCATGCCCGGCCGGGCTGAATAGAACACTTTTTAATAGATTTAACACTAGCCTCTTCTGTCCTATTGTAATTATTTTTCAAACATTTTAAAGGGAAACTTGTAAAAGCAATTCTTTTTTCTTTTTTAATTAAAAAAATTTATTTTAGAGAGAGGAAGGGGAGAAAAAGAGAGAGAGAGAGAGAGAGAGAACGAAACATCTTTGTGAGAGAGAAACATGGAGTGGTTGCCTCCTGTACACATCCCGACTGGGGGGTCGAACCCACAACCCGCTATGTGCCCTGACCGGCAGTAGAACCCACAACCCTTTGGTGCACGGGAATATGCTCCAACCAACTAAACCACACCTGCCAGGGCTGTAAAAGCAATTCTTGTTTATTTTAGAACATTTGAAAAGTACAGAAAATGATACAAAAATGAAAGTTATCCTGCCATTCAGAGGTAACCACTATAACATTTTGGTGCATTTCCATTCATTTTCTTCTTGTACATACATATTTTAAAATGTACATATGCAAGTTTAAAAATAAACTATATACCTATATGTTTATGACTTTTTACCCTTTAATATTTTTTAAAACAAGATTTTAAATGGGTGCAATAATGCTCTGCTATCTAGGTGCATCATAATTTATTTAACACATTGCTCTGAGTAATATTGTGGTAAATATATTTGTATATAATATTTAGTCTGCATCTCTGATGATTTCTTGAGTATAAAACATAAAAATGGATTGGTAGTCATATATTTTTAGATTCTAGAAAGTTTGTACCAGTTTACTTTCCCAGCGCAGCACAGAGGTTCCTTTTGTGTCTTTATCAATATATATTAAAGCTGATGTGACTGTAACCTCAGGCCCACATTCCCTGCTGCTTAGGATTATGCAGCTGTTCTGTCCTGGCACATCACTGAGGGGAAAGACCTTCCAGGCCATCGCTTGCCTACCTCTTTCCAGCGTTGCCTCTGGGCCTGCACATTGGGGTTTTACTCATCTTTTCGTTTCCTCTTTTCCCCTTGACTTCCATCTAACTTCATCAGATTAATCTTAGGCTTGTTTGTGTGATTATTATAGTTTTTTGATGGGAAAAGCCACAGTCACAGTAGGTAAAATATGCTGAATTATTACAAAGGCTATCATGCTCTGTGGCAAGTATATTTCAATCTTTATTATGATTAAAGTGATGAGATTTTTCTCTTGTATACCTTGTCTTACAGTGTACCATAGTAGAAAAATGTATCTTTTTCTACAGAATTTATTTTCTATGTAAACTTATTGGTAGGAGGGTGTATTTTAGCAAATCAGTTTTTGTTTCTATGGCCTTTTCTCTGCATTCATACTGTGATACTCAGTGCTTTGTTTTCACTACTTTGTTCTTACCCAGTTGAGACTAAGATATTGCATAAGAATCTGGAAAATATTTTAGGTTTTTCAGAGGTAAGGTTCCTTTTTTGTTTTTTGAGGATTTAATGGGAGCTGTGAAAACGGACACGTAGTCTGGTCAGGCTGTGTGAAATGACAGAATTTGTGACTTCTCCTGCAGCTGGTCCGGGAGTGCAAGGAGGTGCTGAAGGGCGGCCTTCTGATGAAGCAGTACTACCAGTTCATGCTGCACGGCGTCCGGGACGGCCTGGAGGAGGCCGACTGCAACATCGACGCCTTCGAGGAGGATCTGCAGGAAATGCTGATGGTGAGGGCAGTGGGACACGTCTTCCCCACATCTATCTAGCTGTGTGTGTGAGGGCTACTTTTTAATCGATGATTTTCATAGCTTATTCTACTTCATTGTTTAATTGTGGGTCTATAGCAGAATGGCCCTGAAATAGAATCATGGTCTGGACCTATTTTATTGAGCCATCTGTCATCAGCTGTATCTGTAATACCTGGGGTGCATGAGGGACCTTGCAGGCTCTGGGAATACAGTAACGAGCACTAAGGAGTTTCACGGTGAAAAATGGGGTGAAATTGCTACACTGTATTCCACCCTGAGTAGGAAGTGCTAAGGTAGCATTGTGCAGCGGTGCAAGGAAGGTTTAGAGATGGGACACCCAAGCTAGCCTGGGCACCTCCAGGAATGTCTTACAGTGAGGATGCTGAATCTTAAATAGGAGTCAGGAGGTAACTGAGGATCCTGGCACATTCACAAAACTGTAAATAATGAGATTTCGTCAGGAGCAGACTTATTTGTATTTCTTTCCAGAAAGAGCTCCCAGCCTTCTCACGTGCATCATACGAACCTGTGCTTTCTAACCTCCAGGCTTTTGCTCATATTATTTCTTCCTGTTCGAAATGTCCCTTCTCCTTATTTGCCCATCTAAGACTTACTTTCAAGTTTTATGTTTTTCTAGAAAGCTTATTTGACAGTTTTAACCTTTAGTGTGCTTTATCTAAACCTTCTTTGAACTCTCAGCAGTTATAATTAGAACTGTTCAACTTAATACTTAATGATAACAGCACGTCTCTGTTCTCAGGTTCCCCTAATTAGACTGAAAGCTTTACAGGCCATGGGCTGTGCCTTGAAGTCCTTTTGTCTTCCGTAACGTCTGGTAGGGTGTTCATGTACAGTAAATACATATTAGACTCTAGAGAGAGACACAACTGATTACCTAATGTGACTGTTGATGAGGTAATAGAACACGACCATGCTGGTAGGTATGTTGTCTGTAGAACGCTTTCATCCTTCCTGACACCTCACTCTCCTGCCTGAGGATGGCTTAGCACGCCCAGATACCACCCGCTTTCTAGGCAGGGAGAGAAGAGAAGGGTGGAAGGGGAAGGTCTGCTAGCCAGCTGAGTCCAGAACAGTGAGCGAGTATACTCCTGGAAGCCCCTCCCAGCAGCTGTCCCCTGTGTCCTACTGACCAGGTTGGATGCAGAGCCTCTTACCTATCGGGGAGGCTGGGCATGCACACAGTTAGCTTCCAGCCTCTGCAGTGGAAGAATTGCAAGAGGAATGTAACTGGAAGGGGACTTCCCACATCTGCCATATTATGAGAAATAATTTTGATTTTGAAATTATTTCCTAATTGGAAGAGTACATAAAAGACCAGAATGCCAAAAATGTGGCTATATTTTAAAATACTATATATTTCTTATGTCAGAAAAGTCTTTATCATTGAAAACTTATGGTGTAAAGCAACAAGCAAACTAATTTTTCTCCATGGATGATTAAACAGGTTTAAAAAGAGAAAATGTGTTTTGCTTTCTAAACTGTCTCTGATGATCGGGCAGAGGCCACACCATACCTTTCCTCGTGTAATCACCTCATGTAATCACCGAGGCAGGAAGGTGAGGAATCGGCAGGTAGCGTGTGCCATCCAGGCCGTGCAGTGTCAGAGTCCTGGTGTACCTGTGAGGTATCTGAAGCCTAGGTGAAGTGAATTACCCAAATCTGCAGCTACTTAGAGGTAGAAATGCCGAGGATTTAGTTTGAGCTCAAAACGTGTCCCTGCACTCAGGGGCATTAGGATTTAGTTTGAGCTTTGCTACTAATTATCTGTGTAAGGCATAGTTTTCCTTAGTTTCTCTCCATCATCTCACAGATGAAGAACTTGCAATTACTAGTGCTTTTGAAATTGTGCCCTAAAGAGAGCAGGGGCATATTTTGAGAATGGGAAACACAAACAAAATTAGTGTTTTTGTTAAGAAGGAAGGAGAGAATGGCCTTAGGATAGGCATCAGACTGTTTACTGCCACACCCTTCTCTTGAAACTCACCAAAAACAGCAAAAGGACTCAGAGTAAAGAAAAACATTTCATGTTCAGTACAGGAGGAAATTGATCACAATATTCACGCCCTACCCACCTCCGAAAGACTATTAAAATTGCTAAAATTTAGACTAAAGTGAAGATGAACATACCCCATTTCAGACATGGAGGCCTGTCCAGTGGTTGGTCAGGGTTGTGGTGCGCAGGGGTGCAGCCAGTCGGAAGCACGGGGTGTCCCTGTGGAGGTCCTGTTGTAGATGGCATTCCTGCATGACAGAAGGAGGACAGGTAGGGACACGTCTGCTGTCTGCCGCTCACCCTGTGGGCAGGAAGACTGCGGAACGATAGCTAGGTTGAAAGGTGAGGGGAGGTAGTGATGGCAAGTTACGACACAGAACAAGTGTGACTTAGAGGTCTGTCTGCTCCGTGCTGCGTAACCCTCTCTTGAAAACCGAGGGACCTGTGCATGCAGGTCCAAGGAAAGAACGTGGTGAGTGTTTGGTTGAGGCAGCAAATCCACCTTGAAGCTGTGAACATCTTAGCTCATTGCCCTGGCCTGAGACATAACTGAGACAATAAACATAATATGTGATGTAAGAACATGTGATAGATTGAAGGAACATGTAAGCAGAATTTAAAAGATGTGATATTTGATAATGATGTGATAACAAGATGTGATATTTGTAGAAGACACACAAGGGAGAGCTCACACACAATTAGTGTTCCTCTAGAGCAGCGATTTTCCACCTTTTCCATCTCATGGCACATAAATTACTAAGATTTTGTGGCACACCAAACCTATTTTACGTTTTTTGCCAACCTGACAAAAAGGTATAATTTTGATGCAGTCACACTGGACGGCTATTGTGTTGGCTGTTGTCATTTTTTCATTTGACAGTCTAAAGGAAAAGAGGTCAGTGCCCCTGACTAAATAGGTATTGCAAGTATTAAACATTCTTGTGTCATAGTGGTTGAAAATCACTGCTCTAGAAGACTAAAGGGCAAACCGGAGAGAAAGGGTTCAGTTCTCCATTCTGTAGATGTTATTGGGTGTTGTATTGTGGGTGTCTGCTGTGTGGCGGGCAGGCATTGTGACTGGCATTGTGAAGGCTCAGTGACGAGCATGAACTCCCTCGTGGGGTTTAAGAGTGATGGGAAAGTGGTTATTAAATAACCATCGCAACGGTGAATGATGCGGCAGAGGAGAGGCACACGCCTGCCTTCCCTGGCTCTAGCAGTGATGGGTGAGTTCGTGGGCAGGTGAGGGAAGGCTTCCCTGAGGGAGGGCACCAGGAATGTATCTGAAAGTCGGTATGTATATTACAATCCAATTTATGTACGCAGTTGAGAACTTACACAGAGTAATACTGTGTGTCTTAATTTATGTAATTATTTTAAAAAACATACAAACTAGAAAGAGACATAGTAAATTCACAGTTGTTGCCCTGATGAAGGCGGAGAGAAAAGTGGGGAAACAAAGGAGAAATTAACTTTGCGATGCGTTGTTTCTTACTGAAAAGAATCCTAAGTGTGTGACAAATTATTAACATCTGTTTATTCTGATGGTTGTTAGAGTATTTTTAAGCCTCCTCACTTTTTAATTTAAAAAACAGAGCAAGAGAGATTAAGGAAACACTCCTGAGGGAGCAGCAGCAGACACTGGCTCGGTGGTGGGCACCAGCTTTGGGACAGAGGTTCCTGGGGAAGCATTGCGGAGGGTCCGTGGTATAGCTGATGACATGAATCTGAAACAGGCAGGGTGTTACTTTTTTCTTTTTTTTTAAAGAATACTTTATTAAGTTTATTGGGGCAGGGTGTTTCTTTTAGTTTGTGTTTAAGTCAGATTGTGTGAGAGCAGTGGTTTGAAAGCAGCCGTGGGGAGTGTGAGGAGGCTGACTTGTGTATAGTGAGACAGAGGCCCCTTGAGGGCTGTGACTGAGAAGTGCAGGCTTCAGGAGATGGCAGCTTTTGGGTAGCCTGGGAGATGAAGGAGCACTCCAGGAGCGAAAGGAAACTTCTGGGCCTGCTAGCTGTTCACGTTCCTTGTTCATTTGGACAAGATGGCGGTAGACCCACTAATTGCAGCTTCGACACACACTATTATGCGTGTGATAGACCCAGGCCTGAAGATTGATGTCACGCAACATGGACAGAGGAGGACCCAGAGCATCCAAAGGCACCACAGAAGACAGTGTTCTTGAAATGAAAAAAAAACAAACAAACCTGCAGTTGGCCTAGTGAAAGTTGTTACTGGTCTCAAAACATTCATTCCAGTGAACCTGAGGGTGCAACCTGATGAAAATACTGAAATCTGAGACTAGAGAAAGCATCCTGTAAACATCTCACAGAGACAGCAAGTCACCTGGGTTTGGGGAGCATGGTGACAGCTGGATTAGGCCGGCATCAGATTTCCTCCTACTAGTGACATGCTGTTAGAAGGCGGCGCAGCAGTCTTAAAGGTTCTGAGGGAGAGGACACGTGACAGGTATTTTTCTATGCAGTTAACTTACCCTTTCATAAGGAATCAGTGGACATGATGTTTTGTAGTATAGCAATGAGATTGTGAGCCCATCTTGGGAAAAAGTACTTGATAGTAAAACCCTACTAAGCAACAGATAAGTCAGAGTAAGAATTTAGGAATGGGAAGCTGTAAGAGGACATAAACCCCATTTCAGGGGTATTAGTCATAGATCATAATTTATATGTCGTAAACCCTGAAGAAGTATCTCACAGAAGTCTGGATGTTGGGAAGGGGTGGTGAGAAGTGTGCTTATTTCCTATCAACACGTAAACTACTGTCTAAAGTTAAAGTAGTCAAACAAGCGACGATCCCAGCCTCTTAAAATAGTAATGTTCACAGTATACTAATGATGAAATTTCTGGGTGCTATTTTTTTAAACTTGGTTGTACTTTTCTACGCATTGTGAACAATTTAGTTATTTTCTCGGTAATCCAAAGGGATTGTGAATAATGTGTTAAGTCACTGAGGAGTTGAGTTACACAATTTAAGAAAAATCCTCACTTAGACATCAGTTAGCAACAGTGACATGTGCCTCAGCAGCCCTCTCCCACCTTGCCCTTCAGTTCATAGCTTTCCTGTTAACGCAGGTGAACATCGAGAGTTGCTGAAGTCTGTTCTCAAATATCTCCCTTTACATTTTTGTATTTTAAGGTATATTTTGATTACATGAGAAGCTGGATCCAAATGCTGCAGCAGTTACCTCAAGCATCCCACAGTTTAAAAAATCTGTTAGAAGAAGAGTGGAACTTCACCAAAGAAATAACGCATTACATCCGGGGAGGAGAGGCCCAGGCTGGGAAGCTTTTCTGGTAGGAACCCTGGCAGTCCCGAGGGCACCCGTCTGCCTTTCTCCCTCCCGCCCCTCCCAGTCTGCTCATCAGCTCTCCTTTGCACTTGAATGTGGAGTTCTGTGGAAATGACAGTTCCTACCTGTTTGCCCCTCCCCCAAGTTCGTTTTCCTTGAAGCAGTGGTTCTCAACCAGGGTACTCCCCCCTCCCTGCGGGACATTTCTCAGTGTCTGGAAGTGCCTTTGATTGTAACGACTGAGAGACACTACTGACACCTAGTGCACAGAGGCTGGAGACACTGCTGAACATCCTGCAGTGCACAGGACAGCCCCAGAACAAAAAGTTATCTTCTCCACCTGTCAGTTTTGCAGTGGAGAAACCCTGCCTTAGATTCACATGCAAGGAGCTGAATCTCAGCCTTGGGACGGTCGGCAGGGCTGTGGACCTGTGCACATCAGTCCTCGGGATATTCAGGCCAAGGAAGGATGCTTGTCCACTGATTCTGCTTTGGGCATGTCATGCTGATGATGGACTCTCTGTAAATGGTATACATGTGGTGAGAGGTTAGAAATGTAGACAGGAAAACCATGGAGAGGAGTGTGGTCTGGTCTGTTCGTTCTAGAAAGTGGATATGTCTGTGGAGTCAGGCACCTGATGTTGGATTCGAGTGCCTCAGTGGTCTTTGCTGGGGCCACTCCTCTGCTCACAGGCTGAGGCCCAGTGCTCCCCTTGGCTGCAGACTGCTGCTGTCTGGGGTGCTGCGTCCTCTCAGCCCCTCTTATTCTCCCCTTTCACTGAGGGCGTTTATACCAGCTCCTGTCTTCTAACCTTAGGAAGTCATTGTCCTCAGCTCTACCGACCTCAGTGTCTCAGAATCTTGTATCACACTCCTCCCCTAACCACTGGTTGTTATTAAGTCATCTTTATCTTTACTGTGAATGAACAGTGCGCTCGCTGTCTCAGCACCGGCCCAGCTCTTCAGCCGCGTGCGCATGCTGACTGTTGCTTCCTGTCCAGGTTGGTTCCTGTAGTCAGCCTTGCTAAGTGATGTTCACAGCCATTGCACCATCTCTCCCTCTTCTAATTTCCCATCATCCCGCTTTGCCTGTCCTTTCTTTGGTCTGCACTGCCCACAAGGCCCCCCGACGCCCCACCTTCTGCCTGGGTGTGACCTTCTCTGACCACCCTCTCCACTGACCGCCCGCCACACCTGGCGTTGGCTGCCTATGGACCTGTTTTCTTTACTGGATCGTCCTCCTCTTTCCTCCAGTATCACAGCGGTCAGGCTGCTATTGAACTTCTACTGTGCTAGGATTTATTTTATACACTCACGTTTACATTTTAACCCCTAGTATTTAGATTTCATACTCAACAAGAACCATCAGCTATATATAGGGTCTTATGTTTATTAACCGTGAAAAGCTAGTTGTGAGGGAAAATTTTTTAAAAAGTTGCAATTAAGGAATTCACTTTGTTGTCGTATATTCTTTAGCTTATTAAGCTTTTAAAAAAATCTTGTCATAGCTAAATACTTAAGACCATTTTCTATCATTTTGTACATTTGTTTAAGATGAAAATAACATTTGTAAATAATTACATAGCTACTATGAACGTAATTTAAGATTTTAAGGTTTATAATGAAAACTCTGATAATAGAACAAAGGTAGTGTAGATACATGCCATACTTGGAATTTCCACTTTTCCACATTAATCATGATTTTCTATTAAAAACTTCTCATTCATTGTTTTAAAAAACTATTGAAACAATAGCTGGACCTTTTAGTTCCTCATTCAATAATTAGAATGCATGAGGCCAGTTTTTCTCTGGCTTACCTTTGTTATTTCTGTTCCTTAGTGACATTGCAGGGATGCTGCTGAAATCCACAGGGAGTTTTCTGGAGTTTGGCCTACAGGAGAGCTGCGCCGAGTTCTGGACCAGCGCTGATGACAGCAGTGCTTCGGATGAAATAAGGTGGATGCTGTGCTTTCTTTCCTCTTCTGTTGCTTACTTGTTGGTGATGAGCCTGAATCAGTTGCAATCAAACCAAACTGTTTTGCACTTTCTGAACTTGGGTAGTAGACTTAAAGGGATTTATTTCTATATTGTCTTTTCATATGGTCTCTTAGCTATGGTTTTGTGTGAAATTTCCTTTGAAAGTGAATTTATATAGCCTAATAAAAATAGTGTCCTCAAAGAAGGGGCTAGATAGTTTCAGTGGACTATAAGCGAGTAGAGTAGAATTCAGTAATTGTACCTCTGTGGCAGGCAGTCCATGAATACCTTCAATTGACATTTGCTACATATTTATTGTTTTTATGCTTAGCAGATCCCTTCTGTTGAACTTCAGGCTGAAGTGTGTGAAAGCATAGCTTACTCATCTATTGCATTTCCTCCTGTTCTGTGCAGATGGTATTTAGGTTGAATCATGTAAAACTGCTGTTTTTATGGCATATGTATCAGTCATTTAGCCACTGTGGAGCCAGTTATCAGCAGTGTGATACGACAGTCTCAGGCAGTGCTCAGGTAGAGCTGACTCGAGAGCTGAAGTGTGTTCCCTTCCCATCCAAAGTTTAATGAGGACACAATTTGGATTTCAGAACACCTGGGATGTCTTTATGCCACAGATAAAGAAAGTAATTACCACATGGATTCTCACCTGGAAAAATAGTGAGTGGCAGAGAAATGGAATGAATCAGTTTGCAGGTCTTGTGGTTTTGGAAGCTAATACTGGAGGCTTAAAAAACAGGAACTCAGGAAGTAAGACCGTGAAGCAGCGGAGAATGGCTCTGGTGCTCTGATTGTTTATTAGGGGTGGATCTAAAAAGTCATTCATGTACAGCGGGTGCTGGGCTGGCTTGTCCCGGGTCCAGAGAGCTGATGGGCAGTAGCTGGTCCACCTCTTTGCCCAGTCGTCGCTCAGTGCTGTTGGACTGGCAGCTCAGATCAGCTATTGGGGGAGTCTACACCACGAAAATCAGCAAACACCACATAAGACAGTGTTTTGGGCAGAGCTAGTTGTTAAACATTTGCTGGCTCACCTCTGGATATATGTCTGTTTTTGATCCTCACACAAGGATATATATATTTTTTAATTGATTCAAGAGAAAGAGAAACATCGATCAGTTGTCTCTCATACATGCCCCTACTGGGATTTGAACCCGTGACCTTCCCATGTACAGGATGGTGATCCAACCAACTGAACCACCTGGTCAGGGCTGCATCTATGCCTTTTTAGTTAGATTATGAGCTGGGAGTCAAGAACTTATCTCAAACTCCAGGAAATTCTTGTAATGACCTTTAGAAAATTGAGCTTACTGTTATTTGAAGGTGGTGAAGTGTACACCCTACTTATTTAAAGAACACGAGTACTTTTTGGAAACCACAGGGAGCAAGCTCCTGAGTATCTCAAGTACGTTTCCATTATACAGCCTTCAGTCTGTGTTAGTGTGATTGGAAATCGCTTCACCTTTCTTGTTACGTACTTCTCCACACACCTACTGTGTTCTCACTGGGTTTCCCGCACCTCTGCAGGAGGTCTGTTATAGAGATCAGTCGAGCCCTGAAGGAGCTCTTCCATGAAGCCAGAGAGAGAGCCTCCAAAGCACTTGGCTTTGCTAAGATGCTGAGAAAGGTGAGTTCAGTCCTGATTAATTATTGTTATTTTCTTAGTTTTTAAAAAGCTAGCCCTAAAGAAGCTTCTTTTGTCTGTGATCCTAGGACCTGGAAATAGCTGCCGAGTTCGTACTTTCAGCCCCAGTCAGAGACCTTCTGGAAGTACTGAAATCCAAGCAGTATGTTAAGGTGAGTAGTTCATATGGGATAATGGAAATGTCTTCCTTCCTTACTTTACTCGAAAGCAGGAAAGCTTTTTCTTAAAGATCCAGGTAGTAAGTGTTTTAGGCTTTGCTGGCCATACGTTGACCCCAGTTACAGGACTGTGCCATAGTCTCCCCAAAACCAAGTTTTTCATACTTTACTTATTGACATGTCTTACAGATAAAATAATCAAATATTTGCTCAAACTTCTTATTTTATTAGTTACACATATATATTTAAAGTAATGTATATAAAATAGGTTGGTTTATTTATTTTTTTAAATTTATCCTTATTGTTGAAAGTGTTACAGATGTCCTTTTCCCCCCTTCCCTGTTAACCCCTCCACCCCACTCCTGCCCCTTCCCCATATCTTCCCCGCACTATTGCTAGTCCATGGGCCATGTATATACGCATATAAGTTCTTTGGTTAATCCCTCCTCCCCCACACCCCACCCCTTACCTCTGAAATGCATCAGTCTGTTGCATGCTTCAACGAGGATAATTTTTCCATTGCTTTTTTTTTTTTTTAGAGAGAGTTAGGGGTGGGGAGAGAAATATCGATGTGAAAGAAACACATTGATTGGTTGCCTCCCGCACGAGCCCCATCCAGGGCCAAGGAACTTGCAACCCAGATTCTTGCCCTTGACCAGGAATTGAACCTGAGACCCTTCAGTGTGAGGGCTGAGACTCTCACCACTGAGCAACACCGGTCAAGGCTAATATGTTGATTTTAAATAGTTTTGTTTTTCACCCTCATGTCTTGAAACAATTCAGGCTTTTGGCACGAACCTTTGACATCCTGGACATCACTAGAGCCCCTTTTTGAGTTTCCATCTTTGTTCCCATTTAGGTTGAGATTTAACATTTAGAATCTGTGTATGATATTGTTACTGGAAATTTTATTTGAGGCCCACAGTTTTATTCCCCCCACATTTATGTGACTTGTATGACACAGTTAAAATGGTCTTTAAAAGTCTTGTTAGTATGTCTTCACCAAGGGTAACTTGTGAATCTCTACTGACATTTTTGCCTTTCACTGAGTCAGGTGACGTCCTATTTCAGGTGTCATCCCGTACAGACTCGGGATTCTTGGTTGTGCTGAGGATCCTGGCCATCCCCACTGTAGGGCTCTGCTCTCTGGGAGCAGCTTTGCTTCAAAATGACATCACAGACTAGCACTGATTGAGGTTGTTCCAGGCTGACCTTTCTCCCGTGAGGAGGCTCTTCTTTGCTGTTGAACATAGAGAAGTCAGAGGATGCCCTATAAGTGGAGAACCTGCGTGGCTTCTCCACCAGTGCAGTCCCTGCCCCTCCACACTCACCTGACCTCCTGGTCCCTCGTTGCTCTGATTCATGCCTTTCCCACACCTCCTCCCTCAAACTGCTTGTCTTTTTCTAGTTTTTTTTAAATAACATTTCTATAATTTATGACATTTCTTAATTCAAGGTTTTTTTTTCAAATGGCTGAAATTTAACTTCATTTTTTACAGCTTTATTGAGGTATAATTCTATAGAAAAACTGCACATAATCAATGTATATACAATTTGACTTTGTGCATACACACACACACACACACACACACACACACACTCTTGTGTTCCCATCATCACAGTCAAGGTAATAAGATTTTGGGTGGTTTCTGTTTCAGGTACAGATTCCTGGCTTAGAAAACTTGCAGTTGTTTGTTCCAGACGCTCTTGCTGAGGAGAAGGGTATTATCCTGGCGTTGCTCAATGCAGCTGCAGGGAAGGACTGCTCCAAGGACTCAGATGATGTAGTGCTGATTGATGCCTATTTGCTTCTGACCAAGCACAGTGACCGTGCTCGGGATGCAGATGACAGCTGGGCCAGGTGGGAGGCACCGCCTGTGAAAATTGTGCCTCAGGTGGAGACTGTGGAGACCCTGAGAAGCATGCAGGTGTGTCTCACTCCCCGTTCCCACACCCACCACTTTCCCAGCTCGAAACAGTATTTCTTACTGAAAATGCTTTTAGGAAAAATATATCATTAGATAATTTTGTAGCACTACTTGTACTGAAATATTCCATCAAAGTCTACAAGTATGTTAAATTATAGTGGAATATGTCGTCTTTTTCAGCCAAGTCATTAGGTCTTTATATCCATGATCTACAAGGTATTACTTCACTCATTGACTTTGTAGTTCCAGAAATCCCAGTTCTCCAAGAACTCTGGTTTGCTGGCTCCTTGGTTTTCATTTTTGTGTAAAATAGGCTATCCCTGCCTACCTAATGGGGACCCCGTAATTTATATAATTCCTTACTTAAAACCATCAGAAGCTTCCTCGTGTTCTCCGTGTCAGTGGTGGTGAATGTAGTATGCACCTTAAACTAGGCCTAATGAGCTGAGCACGTGGACACCTGTCCCCGTGACTACACGTGTGCTTTCTCTGTACTCCCTGTCTAGGGAATGGTGCTTGGTCTGCTCGGTGTTGGAACCAGAGTGTCACAGTGAATGTAAATCCATCCTCCCACCCTTCCAGTGAACCAGCAGCCCTGGAAAGCCCAGCGGCCTTCCCTCTGCACGCCCAGCCACTCTCACAGTCAGGCCTCTTCCCTTTCCTGATCCCCCTTAGCTTCCCTACTTCAGCGCTCCTCTTCTCTCCCCACACTCTGCATTCCTTTACTTTGGTCCTTCCAGAATGATCATTCTAATACATATATCTGACCACATCACAGGTCTCCTCAAGCTACATAAAGAATAAAAATAATGAAGTCTGGGTTTTTATTGTTTCACACGAGGCCCTCAGCTCATCCCACATTTACTCTCACGTTTGCCACCTACTGTGCTACATACATATGCGTGCATGTGTGCACGTGTGCACATGACACCAGGAGTGCTGAGTTGCCTAGAGTTCTAGGATGTTTCTGAGACATCCTGCTGCCCCAGCCCCCTGGGACTCGTCACGATTGTGCTGAAGGGCCTAGACCTTGTGCCCACTGAAGCTTGCCTTGCTCTTCGGAGCAGCTCTGCTGGACAACAGCTTTCTCAGCATGTGGCTGCTGGCCTGGTAACCCTGAGGTTGGCACTGATTTCCGACGGGGTGGAACTAGAATGGGAAGGCAGTAACTGGGTCTGTTTCTAAGCCCTATGCTTGATTTTCCTCCCAGGTGGATAATCTTTTACTAGTTGTCATGCAGTCTGCTCACCTCCTAATTCTGAGGAAAGCTTTCCAGCAGTCCATCGAGGGGCTCGTGACTCTGCGTCAGGAGCAGACATCCAGCCAGCCAGTCATTGCCAAGGCTCTGCAGCAGCTCAAGGTACTTCCCATCAACTCCACCTTACGTGGTTTATTTACATCTGGACATCATGCTGCAGAACAAGCGTGTTAGAATGTAATATCATTCACCTGTCCCACCCATTTTCCCTCTGCCCAGTACACACTTCTTTATGTCTAAACCAAAAGGTTCCTGGATCTTTCCTGGACTGTAGAACCTTAGAATCGGAAGGAATAGAAATTTGAACAGTCACATGACTCAAAGTGATCACATGGTTGATGGGTAGCAAAGGTGTAATCATGGAATTGAGGTGTCTTCATTCCTACTCCAACTTTTTTATACCTTAGCATTTACTAGAGGCACTCCAAGTCAGTAATGTATAATCTAAGAGATTTGTTGACTCTCATTTAACAGACAGATCAGCCAAATTTACTAGATAGAGCCAGCTATAGTCAGGCACACAGGCCTTAGATTTCACCATGAGCCAGGGCCATGCCTTCTCCTCGTTACTTTCTGTGTCGTGCTCTGTTCATCAGTCTTGATCTTGTCCACAATTTCCCACAGGCATCAGAATATCTTCTCAGTGTCACTGAGGTGTGACTTCTGGGGAGGAGAAGCACTTCCTAAGATTACAGGAGTTCAAGAAGCATAGTTTTCCTCCAGTCAACCTGCTGTTCTCACTCATTCACCTGCCAGCACTCTCTCTTAGATTCTTATCCCACTCTAATACCAGGGCAGGGAACTTTGTCTTTTCTTTTAGTTTGAGTCAGTGAACTCTGAAGAGTGCAAAATTATATGAGATACTAAATATTCTTGAGCTTAAGGAATTGATAGCCTAAGGACCTGAGTGTAACACTGACTACAGAGGAGGAAGATGTCAGAGACTCCTCGTAGCAGCAGAGGCGTTTCAGCTTGGGGGGTGCAGAAGCTGTGCATTGGGGAGGGCTCACCAAAGGAACTTGTGGCCACTGGTGTCCGTGTGTCAGGCTGCAGGGATGCTTGCTGAACGTCAGAGAGTCTGGTTGGCTGGGTCTTGCTGTGCACAGCATAAGGTAGTGGGAGATGAGGCTGGCCAAGTGAGGTTGTTGAGAGATCCATCCTGGGTTTTATTTCTAAGCCTCAGGGAGTTGTTGAAGATTTAGGAAGAATATTTTGGAACAGTGTGTGAGGGGATTGTCTGATGGAGACCGTGTGTACATAGGGGTATGTTTAAGGGTAAGTGGAAAGGGGGCCCAATTGGGAGCTATTGTCATACTGCTGAGTCAGCAAAGCCTGAACTGCCGACGGTCTGTCAGTAATTCTTTGGGGAGCTTTCCTGTGCACTGTAGGGTGTTTAGCAGGATCCCTGGCCTCTACCCACGAGATGCCAGTAGATTTTACTCCTCCAGCTATGACAACCAAAAATACCTCTAGATGAGGGGTGGGGGACCTTTTTTCTGCCAAGGGCCATGCGGATATTTATAATATCACTTGCAGGCTATACAAAATTAGCAACTTAAAAATTAGCTATGGGAAAAGCTAGATTTATTGAATTTCAAGTCCCGCCTGTGGTGGCCTTGGCAGGGCCAGACCCAATGATTGCTCGGGCGGCATATGGCCTGTGGGCCAGACAATCCCCACCCCTGCTCTAGACGTTGCCAGTGTCACTTGGGGGTGGGGGTAAAATCTGGTTGAGAAACCCTGAACTGGGAGTGGTGGGGGGAAGGAGGACAGCATTACTTGGTAACATTGTTCAGGTCATTTAGAGGTACACTGTGGAGTCACTGTGGAATTTGAGCAACCGAGAAAACAACTGCTCGTTGATACATAAAATTATTGACGCTACAAGCTTCTGTTCCAAGACCACATTGTAACTAGACATCATTTTAAATGGATAATTCCCTCTTGCATTTCATAAGGTATTAAAGAACACCTAATATAAATGAAAATGAAAAATCACATAATTTTCTCTATTTTTGGTCATTCCTTATCAATAACAAAAGTAAATGTGGCCAAGAAATATTGCACTGGTTTATGTCTGTGATGACAAAAGAAATCTTCCTCTAAAATACATAAGTATTGTGTGATTTGCTTCGTTTTTGGATTAATTATGGTTTGGGACTCTTTAGAATGATGCGTTAGAGCTTTGCAACAGAATAAGTGATGCCATTGACCGAGTGGACCACATGTTCGCTTCAGAATTTGATGCTGAAGTCGATGAGTCCGAGTCTGTCACGCTGCAGCAGTACCACCGCGAGGCAATGATCCAGGGCTACAATTTTGGGTTCGAAGTAAGTGCAGAGTAAGAGAAAAACACAGTACAACTTAGCAGTTGCTTTGTAACTTACTTATAAGAAGTGTCATGAACCTTGTATGCAAATCTGACTATTGATTGCAGTCATAGCTTAGTCAGAATGTCTTCTTACGCCATTGATGATTATTGGAAATGTTGGTTTACTTTTAAACTGTCAGTTAGTTGCCTGATTTTTATTTTGTGCTTTTAAACTGTCAGATACTTGCCCGGTTTTTATTTTGTGCTAACATCTATCTACTTATATTTAAGCACCTTTTTTTAAGAGTTGTTTAATATCATAAAAGCACATTCTTAATTTAAACTTATGAGCAGAACATTTGTGAAACTGCATTAAGGCATTATATTCTAATTCTTCATGCTGTTAATTTTAATTGGATTATGCTTTTTTTAAGAAAAAAATCATTTTAGGCAGGTAATGGCATTCTAGTGTTTAGGTATATGTATAATGGTTTTCTTCTTAATTTTGATATATATGAACTCTTACAGTATCATAAAGAAGTTGTTCGCCTGATGTCTGGGGAATTTAGACAGAAGATTGGAGACAGATATATAAGCTTTGCCCGGAAGTGGATGAATTATGTCCTGACTAAGTGTGAGAGTGGGAGAGGTACAAGACCCAGGTAATGACCAGGAGGGATGTGTCCTTCGTGCGTCCTGGGGGATTGGTAGTACTTCCTCCTTGTATATGACACGGGGTTTCATTTGGAAGTCTTCGTGATCAGGTGCGTGTGTGCACGTTGAATTGTTTCCCAAATGACTTTTCTTTAAGGGAGTTCACATTCTCCCTGGACAGGCCTTCCTGATTGCTAATCTTTCCTCCCTCATGAAATGTAAACCTGTTATTAGGAAAAATGGAAAACAAATTGGAAACCAGTCCCTTTATTGAGAAGCCATTTGTCTGTCTTTCTCAAAACACACTGAAAGCATCCTCAGTCCCAGGCATTTTATAAAGGCAAAAAATGTGTTTTGTCCTAAATAGTAATTTTCCAGTTACATTACTTTTTGGTGTTGTATAGACTAAAACTGCTATGACATTTTCTTGGTTGTTTTGTGATTATTGAACTTTTTCATTGCAGGTGGGCAACTCAAGGTTTTGACTTTCTGCAAGCCATTGAGCCTGCCTTCATTTCAGCTCTACCAGAAGACGACTTCTTGGTATGGAATAGTATAAAGTTTGTTCTGTTAAAAAACAAATAAGTTGGTTACTGCCTATTCTTGATTGTGTGTTTTTTTATATTTAATAGCGGTTCTAAAATATTTTTTACATAATTGTAATGATAGTGCTAGAACTGAGTTGTTAAAGCACTAAGTGGTTAATAGCTGCTTAGTGGTAAGACATTCGGTGCTCTTTTCTTTCTGTATCAACATGGTTCTGCTGACTAAGGGTATTACTTACTGTACAGCCTGGCACTTCTAAAACATTGGTCAGTTTCTTATTTGTTAACTGCTGACCTGGTTGCTGCTTTTTAGCAGTTTAATGAAGAGCAAGGATTAGCTCTTTCATTTCACTGTGAGTCATTTGAAGTTATGATACCAAATGTTAAATATTATCACTGTTATTCCGATAAATTCCATCAGATCAAAAAGATTTTGTTCAAAATGTGAATTTATTCATTTTACCTCCAAGTAGCAGAGACGATGGCAGGAGTCCCTTTCCTGTGCCCATCATTGCATTGTGGGCGCTGAATGCACTTCTACTTTTACTCATAAAAATGGAATTGTTTGATATTTTAAATTATTATGATGTGTAGTTAATTCTTGTTCATACCTATTTTATTGTAAACTAATGTTGAAAATATTACTAAGGATAGCACGTTCTTTTAAATATACTGAAAGCTTAATTTGTGCTAATTATCTAATTGAGAGAGTATCCATTCTTGCTTTTCCTTTCCCATCTCCTGTGGGTCCTAGAGCTTGCAAGCCTTGATGAACGAATGCATTGGCCACGTGATAGGAAAGCCACACAGTCCTGTTACAGGTTTGTACCTTGGTAAGGCAGCAGCTACAGCATTTCTGCTAGAACCCATTGGCTCAGGCGAGCGCCTCCTCTCATGATTGCCGTCGTTTACAGTGGCATAGAGGTTCTTTAAGAATATTCAGGAAAATGACAGTGAAAGTTAGAGGAGCGAGGTGCATTCGTAAGGAACTCCACAGTAACCTTTCTGAGTCCAGCAAGAAGACTAAAATGCCAGCACAGGTATTCAGTGCTTGCCTTGCCCGCAACACTAATTTTGCACACCAGTACTCTCATCTGCTCTCCCCTTGAACTCTTTTCTTCTGGGAGGAGAGATTTGCAGAGAGTTGTCTTCTGAGGAGCAGGGCCTTTCCTGCAGCAGGTGGTGAGTATAAGGGCCCTGCCCCTCCTTCACCTTTTAAAGCTTTTCTTCACCACTTTCCTAAGCAACCATTTCCCACTAATGTAGTCAGTTCTTATTGGTTCTACCAAAAAAAAAATCAACTTGTTATGCTGTAATATACTTTAATTACAGTTTTACAGTGTTTCTTGAAATTTAAGATTGTGTCTTACCCCAGTCCTAAGATAGTAAATAAAAGCAAAACTATTTACATATAATAGACACCCAAGTATGAAAACTCAGAAATTTTAAACAATTTGTTATACAAAATGAAGTAATTCATCAATGGTAAATGTATTGAGTAGCAGCTATATCTTAAAGGGTAGTTGCTAGCTACAGAAAGTTTAATAGACCCAGTTTTAATGTTTGGTTTCTTTATCTTTAAAAGTCACTGTTTATTTGTACCTTTTTTTCAACCAAGGCTGCTATGAGATGACAGTTATCACTTGTAAAACTATTTGAACATTTTATATAAAATATTCTATATTCTTACCAAACTTTTGATTAAGCTTATTGTCATAAATGATTTTGTGATCTCCTAAATTACTTTTTTAAGAATACTTGATCAATAATTTAGTAAAAATTACATCTTTAAAATAATTTGTTACATAAGGATTCATTTTCAGTTTAGAAAAACTACAGTGTAGAAAAAGTATGTAAAAAATATAAATGCAGGGAAATTTTCAATGTGGAAAAACATTACAAAACCCTCAGGTCATCTCTGTTAGTGTGAGCCACTAACTGTTCACCCTGCCCCTTTACACCTGGCTGGGGGGCACTTGGCTCACAGCTCTCTGTAGGTTCGAGGTGTCCTCTCCCCTCACAGCCACTGTGGAGTGGCGGGGACAGCCCTGGGCTGAGGGCCAGATTGCCTGGCAGTCAGTGACCTGGGGCTGCTCATTTCACACCTGTGAGCTCCCCTTCTGATGCCCAGAACTGGATGCTGGTGAGGATTCAGTCAGATAGTAACACTTCGTAAACGAGTGGCCTACGCAAGGGAGGAGTCATCGTGTGGTTTTGGGTTCTTTCATGATAGGAGAAATTATTGACGGCGAGAGCACATCAGCTGTCGTCGTTTCCCTTCTTCCCTTCCCTCCGCTCTGCCCGGCTAGCCCGTGGTAGCAGCCTGCTCTGAAACCGTCCTCATTTGCTGTGCACTCGTTCGGGTGTTTAATTACAGAGGCGCTTTCTGCCGCACCTTTCTTTCTGCTCAGATCATCACACAGCATTTATAGGGTGGTTTTCCACTGTTTAGTGTATGAAAATTGGATCACATTGAGTATTCATTTTTACTTTTCTTACCTGACAGTTATAAAAACTCCTGTGTCAACAGCTGTAGATCCAATTCATTCTCCTCAGTGGCCACATTGTGTCCACTGTGAATGTCCTACAGTTCTTCCCACCATTTCCCAGTGGATGTTTGCTTTGCTAGTGTTTCCTGTGAAAGGCATTTCTATAGTAGATATTCACCACTAGTGAAATTTGAGCACCTCTTTTATGTTTCTTGGCCCTTTGGATTTTCTTTTCAGTGGAGTATCACAGTTTTGCAACATACCCTTAAATGTTTTGTCTTGCCTGTGAAGAATGTTAGACTGTGTGTGTGTTTCAGCAGAATTTCTTCATCTTTGTGGGAAAGTTTGGTAGTAGGTTTTGATTCAGTAGTGACCACTATGTTTGATATGAAAGGTATCACCATCCACCCCAAATTATATCTGTTGGGTTTTTTTCTTTTTACTTTTATTACTGTTGGATTTATTGTTACAGTAGTTGAGATAATGAACCAGGGACGCAAATCTCCTAAGTTTTAACAAGTGCTTCATTCTTGTTTTGCAAGTTTTCCCTTCAGATTGCTCCATTTTTGGTGCTTCTGTCTTCCCTCTGAAATGCTATGAAAGGAAACAGACAAAGCACCATGAAGGAGGAAGTATTTCCACGTCGGATAAAACATTAGAATAAAACATGTAGACTAAAATTGTTAATATATAAAGAAAAAATATGACACTTAAGAAAAATATGACACTTGGTTTAAGGAAGGCTAAAACCAAGCTAAAAGTAAAGGGAAACTATGTTAGGGAGAAATAGACAAAATATGATGCTAGTTATATGACTAGTCCATAACGTTACATGTAGTTCCTAGGGAATTACAGTTGTCAGCATTTTTGTAATCACTAGCTAAGGTCACTTTTTAAAATTTTGTTTTAAATTTTTCATAGTTTTTAAATTTTGTTTTAAATTTTATCCATATTTACCTTTGACCAGACTATTTAAAAGAAGAGGAGAAGACACGTTCTGAACAACAGAACAAAAACCTCCTGGTTTGATTTAAAGGAATGAAATAAAAGCCCTTGCACTCAGGAAAATGACAGTGACCCCTCCCCAGCTGAGGACCTGCTGAGCTGCCACACTGATCAGAATCTTTTTAAAGTGTGGAGAACATAAAGAGCTCCCTCTTATCAGGGAGATGCCACCTGTTGCCACCCATCTCTCACCTGGGTTACATCATTTGTTTTGCATGTGTTATGTATGTTTCATCCCGGGATTTAAAAAATGTTTTTGATGGAGGAAATTTTGAATGTGTAATTTAACTAAAAGGTGACATTTTCCACAATATTTGCATATGTAATGTAATTTTCTTATAGAATGGGTTTATTTTGGCCACCAGCGAAATTAAGTTGCATCCTGTTTCCATTTACTTGCCTGGCCTTGCGGTTTAACAAATTGCCTTTGTCGCCATTTTCCCTGGCAGCCATTCATCGGAACAGCCCCCGTCCTGTGAAGGTGCCTCGATGCCACAGTGACCCTCCTAACCCCCATTTGATTATCCCAACTCCAGAGGGATTCAGGTATTTGGTGCCATCTAGTCATGTGCGTGGTGGATTCTCCTCTGGTGTGCATGCCAATACTCGGGAGGCTACTGGGTGCTCGCTCTGATGACTCCTTCCTGTGTCCTGCTCATACACTTGTAAAAGTGCTGCTTTGTTATCTTGAAGACAAACCAGGGTGCCTTAGTTGCAGAAGAAAAAGACATGCCGATTTAAAGCAGACGGTGTGCCTTTCAAGATAACTCGGTTTCTAAGCTTACTTATATAACCTCAAGCTACTAAATGCTTTCCATCTTTGGAATAATTATTTCTTTTTCTTTCTTTGAGAAATGACCTTAGGGAAGCAAATTTGAGTGTGCATAGCATAATACACATTTGAAAAATAGTACTTAATATCAGTTTGAAAGTGGAAACAACTGGAAATCTTTCCAGTCCTGACTTCTGTGTGTGTATAACTACCAGTCGGCTTACTAAAGGGAGTTCAGAAACTAGTCCATTCAAACACTGACCTGAATGTGGTGGCATTTCTGCGTCTTGTCGTAGGGAGTGTCCTCTTCCCTGGATGGATGATCACTTTTTAAAAGTTAATTTTATCTGACAGTATTTGCTAGGAAAGACCACACCTGTTTTTAAAATGATGAGTTTGAAATTAGGTGATTTTCCCCCAAACCTAGACCTGAATCTCAACGAACAATTTGCATTTTATGTTTTAAGATACTTTTCACTTACCCTATTTTATTCTTAACTGAAAACCATTTGCGAGTCCGCTCCCTTCTGTCGCCCGTGTTCCTGAAGCTTTTCTTCTCGTCTCAGCACCCGGAGCGTGCCTTCGGACGGGCGGAGCCATGGCCCCGCAGGCGGCGACTCTGCGCCACCCAAACCCACCAGCAGTGCCCATGACGCCAGGTAGTCTCACTCCGCCAGTGTCCTGCCCCTTGCCCCTTGTGTGCACTTCCACAGGGACCTCGGCCCCTGTGGTGTATCCCAGGATACGGATGGCAGGGTCTCTTCCCTGTGGTGCATGTGATGCTCAGGGGCTTTCAGAGGTTGTCAGAGCTGTGCTGCAGGACCGACCAGCACAAGTAGATAATCGGCTTGATTTTAATGTTTCTTTAGAACTGATATTAACCCAAACAACCAGAGTCTCTGCCTGTAATAACTTTCTTGGGGAGAGTATCAGAGGAAAGATCCTGATCCCCACCAGGAGGGGGTGTGGGAAGTTGGTAAGGCCGGCCTTTCCTGAGGTTCAAAGATGGCTTCTGATTAGTACCATAAGGTGGTGATTCTTTTTTTTTTAAGAGGATCACTTTTCTAACCAAATTATCTGATTTCTATGATTATTGATTAGAAGTAGTTTGTAAAGTAGAAACTGAGTTCGTGGGGTTCATATCTCATGGAGAATAGATCATTACCAGAGAGAGTCATCAGATGTTTGTCAAGCTTCAGAAAAATCCCTCTCACGTGAAGTCTTTAGTATTAGCAAGGAGGGTGTCCCAGTTTCTCCCACATCAGTTGTTTGTTTTTTATTTTTTGGCCAGGAGATTTCATCAAGGTCTCATATACTTAATTGCAAGGACATTAGATCAATTTTAATTCTACCTTTATATCTGGTAGAAGGGTCACTGTCCTCATCTTCCAGTAAGGATGGTGAGAGAGTCAACCCAAACTGGGTGTGGAGGGATAATCTGGTCAACACAGACATAAGCGCCGTGTTGGCAGAAAGGTGACAGGGCTCTAGAATTTAAAGCAGACTAAACGCTTTTAGATTTTATAACAGTCTGAAGTTTCTAAAAACATTTCTATTTTCTCATTAAAAATCATTAATATTTCTAATTTTGTGATAAACTATAACCTAAAAAAAGTCAGTATATTTTACAGCTTAAGCAGTAAACTAAAAAAATTAACAGTTAACTTTGAACAAGTTCCCATTTCCCCTCTTTATATTTAGAGCATTTCCTGGCCAGTGTTTCCATGTCCCTGGGGTCACCGAGACTGTCTAGTTGATAAGTGCAGCACAAAGTTAAGGGGTGACCTGCCCTAAAGTGCAGCCATAGCTGGGGAGGGCCCGTCACTGGAACTGTGGAGCCTGGCCCCCACGCTGCTGCTCCGAGTCCACACGGGGTTTCTCCACCATGAGGAGGGGGGATAACGTTGCCCTTCTCCAAAGGTTCGTGTGTGGTGTGAGGTGTTTATAAAGGTGGCAGTGTGGAGCGTTAAATGCACTTTCGTATAAAAGCTAACCTGGGCCTTTCCATGCCTTAGTCGTAGGCTGGCCTGGTAGAGTTCTCGCATCTTACGAGCACCACTTTGCAAGTGTTCTTTATCTTCCTTTATCACCCTCAGGATGAGCCTCCATAGCTGGAGACTTTACTCCCGTCATGGCGTGCCGTCTTGCAGGCCGTTTTTCACAGCGGCCTGACATTCTCTCTGCGGCACTGTGTACATGACGGAGCAAGAGCAGCAGAGCCGCACGAGACGTGCGTAGCCTGTGATGGTCTCACTCTGGCGTTCAAACCTGGCACATGCTCAGTTTCCCTTGTGCCTCAGCCCGCTGCCGGGAACTTGGGTGGTGGGCCCTAGGAAGACCGCACATGCCCTCAAGCCGGAGTCTCTCGGCGGCCCTGGTTTGTGGCTGTGTTGTAAGGAGGTAGAATGATTCCTGCGACTTCCCCCGTTGGCAGGGATGCCCAGCCCTGCGGTGCGCAGTCCTCACCCACCTTGGAGATGCAGCCATAGTGAAATCGTACTTTGCCCTACAGCAGTGTTTCCATTGGATTTGGTTTCACTTAGGAAGTAGTCTGGGCTTCAGTGATCTTGCCTATAAAACTTGTTTGCAGTGCTCTGCCTGCTGGAGCTATCACTTACTGGTTTGCAAGAGCTGATGATTAATTTTTTAGGAATTTTGCAATCCAGTAGTTACACCACGGAAATTGTCAAACTCTACAACCCTTCCCGCCACCCCTGAAACTAGCTATTAAAAAATTCACCAGCCTGCTAGTATATTCTCTTGCCTTTTATCCTGGCAAAACTCGGAGGACGTGGAATTGATTCATTTTGCCTCTGGAACCTATAGGCTTAGTTAAGTGACTTTACACAGGCCCATCCATTGTGTGCATGGTCGAGGAGCAGATGTGTTTCTTTACATTGGCATCGGTGCTTTTTCCATGAAGCGGTACCATGGTGTTGATGGGCCACAGGGCAGTAGAGGGCGTCCCCATCCTTGGACTTAGCAGTGCTGCCCTAGATGGAGAGTCAGGGACGTCGGAAGCGCCGCACACTTCATAGCTAGTCTGTCCATTAGACCATGTGGCCAAACCTGGCCAGGGTCTAGTGAGAAAGAGCATAAATGCTACCATACTTCATTCATCATTCATTTAAGATTCCACACTAAACCTGTTCATAAACTAATGCCATGTTTATTCTAGATGATTTGTATTATAATTTTAACACCTCCTTACTTCATTTTGGGTCTTGCTCTTTATGGATTCATTCTGGGTTGCTGAGCAATTAGCTTTTAACTTCATTCTGGAAAAGCAGCAACTTAACTGTGCTCTTGGTGTGTAAGCCTCCCGCTCTTTTGCACTTTGCTTGGCTACTGCTTGAGAAGCGTGAGGGGTTCCCTTCTGTCTCCTTATTAAGAGACTTGAAATCCTTTGAGTCATGTAATGATTTAGCACTTTAAGATTTAAGCACATAACTATAATTTGATGATAATTTTAAATATTAACCAGATTTGGCTAATACTTTTTATCCATCCTGGGCTTAAGTTATGGAGCTTTCCATACATGTGAACACGTCGGTGAATACAGTTTCATTTTCATTTTTGTTGTTTTTAACATAAAACAGTGTATTATGCAGTCAGGGTTTCATGTGTTGGCTGTGGAGGGATGAAGATACAGCTCTCCTTCTAAATTCAAGGAGTTCCCCAGAGCAGCCCCGCTCCTCTGGGTGCGTAGTTCCTGGGACTGTCCTTTGTGTTGCCCTCCACCCACTAGGGGCCAGATGTCCCCATGGACATCTGCTGAGAACCACTGCTCTGGAAGCTCACAGATCTGTCGTTTTGAATTCAGGTGGACTGATAGCTCCTTTTAAAAAATATTACAACAGGGGTTCCAGTGTCCCTGAAAATGACCGGCTGGCATCCATCGCCGCTGAGCTGCAGTTCAGGTCCCTGAGTCGCCATTCAAGCCCCACCGAGGAGCGTGACGGTGAGTGTGGAGGTGTCTCCTGCATCCTCGGACGCCTGTCTCAGTCCACCAGTTTCTGTGTAATGTCTTTTTAAAGGTAGGAGACATAAGAAACTCCAGGGCTTTGTGAGAAGACTCAGTGCTGAGCAGTCAGCTTCTTAATGTAGATGCCTTTTAGCTGTGTTTGCATTTCCTAGGTCTCCTTTCGTTGCTTTTTAAAAAATCATTATTCCTGATAATTTATTTGCCAAGCGTTCTTACGCTGCGTGTGTTGATGACACGCTGGAGTTTTACTATAACGGGGATCGAGGCGCCTGCCAGGAACCGCGGGGCGGCTCGCACGGCAGCACTGCTGGGCCCCTTGGTGGGACTGCTCACGTGTGGTCCCCATGTCATCCACTCCCCGCTCCGTGTTCTGTTGCTTGTTACTTGTGGAAGGTTTGTGTAGTGAAAATGTTGTAGCCCCGTTAACAGCTTCTTAGGTTGGTGCGACTTTCTGGAGTTGATTGTAGAGGCAGCTTCTCTCACTCCCATGAACTGTAGTTAATCCCCGGGAAGGACAGGCTGGTGGCGGCCCGTCACCCCCGCTCACCGTTCCAGCCTTGCTCTTGATGAAGCACGCATATCTGCTTCACGAGTCGTCATTTGTGTGAAAAATACTCTCTGCAGAGCCAGCCTATCCGAGAGGCGATGCGAGCGGGTCGGCACGAAGAAGCTGGGAACTGCGGACGCTCATCAGCCAGACCAAGGGTGAGTGCAGGAGGCTGGACTTAGTGTCTTGCGTGAAGGGAGAGGCTTCAGAGAAGGTGCTTTGGCTTCAGTGTCCATAGACCTCCTGCCTTAATACTCATCATCTCCTTTCTCATCTGCCATCACCTTCTGTATGTGCTGTTTGTGCACATTTCCTGTTTCTTACAGTAAGTTACGAGCTCCTTTGGATCAGGAGCACATTTATTCATTTGTAATCTTTATGTACTGAGATGGCTGGTTGACTTTATCTGTCTCCTTGGATGGGCCCTGAGCATAATTCTTTGTACATCATAGGAACATAATATTTATAAAATGAGTAACTGTTCATTTTTTAGGCTAAGAAGTTGAGGGCAAACATTTATCTTACAAAGTAGGTATTCAGATAGCTAATTAGGAAGCTGTGAGAAGTGCTTTAATGGAGACGTGTAGAAAGCAGTACTTTTCCAGTTCTGGGCTGTGACCCGCTAGTGGGATATAAAATTCACCAAAAGAATAAATAGCAGAAAAATCCCTGGTCTGGCACTTGACAGTCTCCAGGATGCTTTCGCGTGTTCACAGTCACAGCTACTGGGCAATAGGCAGCATGGATCTTGCTCTTTTTTCAAAAGTTACCAGGGTTTCTGAGAGGACCGATAATGTGGCCATGGTGGTAAATGACAGGGTCTAGAGCACGCTACACAGTGCCGCGTCCAGTCCTCTTCTCATCGGTCACAGCACCCCTTTGAAATGTGACTGGTCAGAAGAATAGTTTGCTTACCACCCGCAGCCAGAGCAGTCGGGAGGGATTTCCTGGAGGCGTGAGCTGGCCCTTGAATGAATAATGGGTCTGCATTAAGCCGAGAGGAGAAACACAGAAGGAGAAACAGCTGGAGGCCCAGTGACTGAAGAATGGACCAGCCGGACTGGGCTGGAGAGTGTAGATGTCAGTGGAGGTGAAATCGAAAGGGTGAGGGGAGGTCAGGTCATGGCCAGTCTTTAGTGGTGGGCTCAGTGATGGGCCTGACCAGAGGCGGTGGCCATCCCTGAGCCTGTTGAGCCGCTGGTGTGAACTGGGAGTGGGAAGGTGGGGAAGGAAGACATGGAGGCAGGTTAACCTGAGAGCCTGAATTGGAGAGGAAGGGAGACCAGTGACTAACTGCACTCACTCAGTAAGACAGTAAGGTACTGCACTGAGGTAGGGTTTCAAAAAGGAGTGGAAACAAGGGACAGCTGCAATGCAACGTCGGGCAGGCCTGGGCAGGCGGGGTGCATGTAGAGGGCGGGGAGACCGGTGGCGTGAGCCTGGGCGACAGGGCAGAGGCTCTCCGGTAGCCTATGTAACCAGAGTTCCCATGGATGCCAGGTCTTTGCAATTGTTTTCAAAACAAATACTTGGTGGTCAAGTAAACTTGGGAAGTCTTCAGAGAGTTCCTGTTCACATTGACATATTTAAGACTGAGAAATCTTGAGAAATATTTTACTGTTAAAAAAAAAAATAAAGGGAAAAAAAAAACCTTTCTGAGAAATATTTGATGGTGGAGTCCCTGGCCTCACAGCTGTGAAATCTTGCTTGGCGCCGGGGGGAGGTGATGTGTAGTGGTGGAGATAAAGGAACGGGACCCGTGTTTTTAAAAAATGACTATATTAAGGAACTGTGATTGGAACATTATAAATATCTGGGAATTTTTCACCTCAAGTTAACCTTACAGTCATCCCAGTCCTCAGGGACCTCTTTGTCTGCGGGAAAATCCAGGCCCTTAGATAGCTAATTAGGCAACAGTGTGAGAAATGCTGTAATGGAGACCTGTAGAAGGCAGTACTTTTCTAGTTCTGGGTTGTGACCCACTAGTGGGATGTAAATTAAGCATTAAAAAAATAGCCTGGAGTCTGAGTCACATGGAGTAAAAGCAAGTGATGTTTCATGAAACTATTGTTTTAGATTCCACGTGTGTAAAAGATATTTCTCACTGTAAATCATGATAAAGTAAGTTGGAGAAATAGAGATATGGAGCCTGATGGGAAACGAAGAGTAATAATAACAATAGCTAAAGTTTATTGAGTTTTCCTGAATTCCAGACTGTGGGGAAAATCCTCTAATGTGTGATTTCATTAAGTTGTCACAACAGCTCTGGGAGTCAGGTGTCATCACCTTCATTTCATAGGTCGGGAATTTGACATATAGAGAAGTCAATTGATTTGCCCACCGTCAGACACCAGAAACCCGGTGAGGCCTGGGTTTTGTTCCAGGCGGTCTGATTCCAGAGTGACCTCTGTACCCCTCCCACAGGAGGGAAACTGAATTCCTTCCTCACCATAGAGGGCTTCCCAGGAAAGGTGGGGTGTTCTTGCTGAGCTGCGATAAGTGAGACTACTCACCAGGCACTATGGTGGGAAGACAGTATTGTAGGCAAACAGAGAAGTGTGTGAACCAAGGCCTGGCAGTGAGAAACAGTTTGGTGTGTTCCCTGAGTGTCTGTTTAGTGTGACTTGTGAGCCTGTGGCAGGAGAAGGGGAGTGGCTTAAAAAAGTGAACTGGGGAAGATAAATGGGCTCCAAATTGTGCAGGACCTCAAGTCCCATGTGGAGGGCTTCGCATTTTTTATAAACAGATTGTGATGATCGTGAAGTAAATTTACATAGGAAGGTCACGTGATCAGATTTTATTTTTTAGTAAGATGATTCTGCCCAACAAGTGTGGATTGGAGAGAGGAGAAACTGAAGCAGGTGGGTGGTCACTGCAGTAGTCTGACCAGCAGCCTTGGGAGAGGACATGGTGGGCTTATCTTGACTGGCTTGTATTTCCTGTGCATTTGTACAGTGGGTGGTGTGCTCCGGAGCTGGTAGGTTGTGACAGGCTGTACTTCCCCTGGTTCTCTGCCATGGATCTGAACAGATAATGCCAAGCTTCACTGCGATGGAGCGCTAATGTATTGCTTTGTTTTTCTGATTATTTGTTGGGAATTGACTTGATAATAGTGATTGGGATGACCGAGTTTGCAATTTCTCCGTGCAGATACCGCTTCTAAACAAGGACCCATAGAAGCGATCCAGAAGTCAGTTCGATTATTTGAAGAAAAGAGGTATCGAGAAATGAGGAGGAAGAATATCATCGGCCAAGTGTGCGACACCCCCAAATCTTACGATAATGTCATGCATGTTGGCCTGAGGAAGGTGACCTTCAAGTGGCAAAGAGGAAACAAAATTGGTAAGGAAACTAAAGAGCACAACACAAGGATCATCTTTGTTCTAGAGCAGTAGTCACACGCCTGAGGTTAAGCTTGCACGGCTGGCCCTTCTCTCATATCCTCTGGCAGATGCCCACCCAGCATATACTTTGCGAGGGCTCAGGGTGGTTTTGTTTACTTGCTTCATTTGTAAAATGTGCTCTAAGAACAGTACAAAATGAGGTTTTAGAGAGAGATTTTAAATGGCTCATTAAGTTGAATAGTTTTGCTTGATAATTCCAGAAATTGCCAGTGGGGAACTATATGAATTGTACCCATTGGCTGTAGCCTGTGTTCTCTGTCTTATCCCCACAAGCACATTATTGAAGAGAAACAGTGCAAATAAAGACAGGACAATCTTTTCTACAACGCCACCTAACGCGTTTCTTGTGGAACAACTGGTGGGAGATTGTGGAAGAGAAGGAGCCTGTTTCAGGTCCTCCACCATTTGAATGCATTTATCTGCCAAGCACTTGGATCTGAAGCAGACACAGCTGTCACCTAGGAAGGACCCTGTGAGCCTCCGGAAACCTGACCTTTGTTAGAGAACATTCAGACACTTTTAAATTGTATTCATTATTGCTATCAATGTTAGTCAGCCTTCCCCGTAGTTTAATGTCCTTAAAGGTGTGTCAGTAGATCGTCTACCCCACACTCCTGGACCCGCAGCAGTGAGGTGCAGTCAGATGGTGCCCAAGCTTCCTGCTGGCCACTCCCTTCGCCTGCCCCTCCCTCCCGGCCCAGGCCTCCTGCAGGGCCACAGGGGCAGAGGGGTGTGTGCCGGGTGCTTGTGCTCACCGTAATGCCTCTTCGGGGGTTTGCTAAAGTCAGACCTTCTCACTAGATAGTTACAGGTGAGACCCTGAGGAGATTGCCTGAGGCTTCATTTATTGGGAGTATTCAGAACTGTTTTGGGACTTGCAGTAGTCAGCTTCAGTGAGCATGATTGTAGAGATAGAAATACAGCTGCAGATTTGGGGAAGGTGAGTCACATTGGCAGCAGGTAAGAGCCCTGGCCTGGGGACTGAGCCGCCTGTGTTCCTACTCACAGGAGAAGGGCAGTACGGGAAGGTCTACACCTGCATCAGCGTGGACACGGGCGAGCTGATGGCCATGAAGGAGGTGAGTGTCGGGCCTCCTGGGCCTTCTCGTTTGCAGCCTCTGGGCGGTAGAGATTTGGTAAAGAAACTTGTGTTAACTTGTCTAGTGCATAGAGCTGGCCTCAGCACTTTTGCATGAGGCGTCTGAGGGTGCTTTTCAGCATTTATACTGTTGGGACAACCAGGCAGCTACACAGGTGACCTGAGAGTAGAGTTCACGGTTCTGGTGAGGATAAGGCCAGGAACACAAACCATTCTCCCTCTGCATAGGTGTGGTCAGTGCCGTGGAGAAGGGGCAGAAATGGAGCTTGGTGAGAGCCTAGAGGGTGGGATAATAGCATCTACAGGGGTCTTCCGGGGAGGCAGAGCAGGAGCAGCAGGGGCACCTAAGGAGGGCTGTCAGGGAAACCAAGGCTGTGGTCTCCGAGGAGGAGGCCCTCATGGCTGAGGGGCGGGGGCAGTGGAGGAAGAGGCTGGTGTGTCGGCTGCTGATGCCCCTCTCCTGGGCGCCTGCATCGTTTCTCATCTGCCCTGCTTGGCACCTCCAGCACTGCCTTTATACCCTCCTTCCAGCCTGGTGTCGACCATGAAGGGCAGGGTCACATCTCAGCTTTCATCTTGCCAAGAACCCGAACACTGGTGATGGCTCACTGGGTGCCCAGTGTTTCTGTTCATCCAGTCTGAAGTGGGCGTGCTCAGTTCACTGGGAGTGAAGTCACAGACACACTGACAGTGGTCCCAGGGTCAGGACAGGGACGTGTCGAGACAGCTCTGCAGCCCTCGTGTTTGAAGTTGTTCTGTTGCTCGTTCATGACGGTACCAGCAGTAACCACAGTCTGCCTTTTACAGATTCGATTTCAGCCTAATGACCACAAAACGATCAAGGAGACGGCAGATGAGCTGAAGATATTTGAAGGCATCAAGCACCCCAACCTGGTGCGGTACTTCGGTGTGGAGCTGCACAGGGTAAGCGGCTTTGATCGCTGCGCAGTCAGTGAGGGTCCCGCTGGAGTCCTGTCTACATCACAGGTCTTCTCATTGCAGAGTAACTTTGCCTAATTATCAGGAAATCTCCATGAGTTACATCATTTCTGCCTTCTCTGAACTAGAGGAGTTCTTCCCGAAATGTAAGTTGTAGACTGTAGTCATCCACCCGCCAGTACAAAGCACTGAGGCCCAGCCTTCCGGGCGAGCGGAGGTCCTCAGAGGCCTCACAGCGCCTCCTCCCGTGTCCCTGCACACATGGCTGCAGCGCTGTTGAGGACAGGGTTAGGCGATGCCGCCGGTTCTTCCTTCCTGTGTGTGTAAGGAGCCACTGCGAGGTGGGGACGTTAAAGCCTCAGCTCCGCTTTCCCTCTGTGTTTAGAAACAAACACTGAGGGAAAGACGATAGCTTCGAGCATCTTGGTGGAATCCAAGCTTCCGGGGGAAGTTGGATATTGGTGATGTTCGATGTTTTCACACTCAGCGTTCGTATTTGAAGAGGATGTGTGTCAGTACTTAGTGATACATGTGTAGGGCAGCCCTGTTGGTCCCTGTCTGAGGTTATATGGCAGCTTCATTTTGAAGGACTAGAGACACATCCCTGTGGTTCAGAGGCGCTCTCCCGACTGGTGTGTAATTCCAGACAGAGGAGGCGGGCAGACGCTGCTGTCAGGAGTCAGGAATGTCTGTCGTGGGACAGGTGCAGTGTCAGGACGACAGGTGTCGCATACCTTAGACAGAAGGTCCTCAGGGCACGGCCGTGACGTCTCCCAGGGCCCCCCTTAGTGTGCCTGTAACCACGGCTATGTCCGGTTCCTCCCGCAGGAGGAGATGTACATCTTCATGGAGTACTGTGACGAGGGCACACTGGAGGAGGTGTCACGGCTCGGGCTCCAGGAGCATGTCATCAGGCTGTATTCTAAGCAGATCACCATTGCAATCAACGTCCTCCACGAGCATGGCATCGTTCACCGGGACATTAAAGGTAACCCAGCTCACCTGGCAGCCCACATGTAGGTGTGCCCAGGGTGTGTGGTCTTGCTCCCACGGACTGCATTTCTCTAGGGAAGTGCCTTCACTTTAAATGTTCTTCCACAGAGAGCCTGCTACTGAGAAACTATGTAAGACACACAGTTCCGTCTCTGAGCAGGAAAGTCGACTCTGTCTGAATTTTTGTTTTTAGTGGTCTTGGCCTTTACAGATGGGCTTGGCTGCCCTGCGCATTCACTAGACGTTCATGGTCAGAGCGTCTTTTCTTTCCCAAGCGAGGGCCTTGTGTGTTTGTCTATGATGTCGTGAGTGTGTGAAGTGACTGTGAGTCAGGGATGCTGGACTGTGTCCTGAGGACCAGCTCCCCATGGGCTGCGTTTCCAGTTCAGGCGGCTCGTCATCACCAGCCTCGCCCGGCGGAGTCCGCGGAGGGCTGATTGGTTTGCGCGGATGGAGTATAGCGCTGTTCCCCTCTGCGTGGGGAGCAGCCATGCATCTTCCTCGGTGCTGTCCCTTTGCACTTGCCTGGAACACAGCCTCACCTTTGTGTCCAGGAACCTTGGGGATAATAAAGCAACATGATTTCTGTCTCTAGTTGGCCCCTGGCTGAGATCCCGTTCTGTCACAGTCTGACGCCGGCCCAGACACCCTCACTCTGCAGTTCACTGACCTCCCACCCAGGGCTAGGCCTGGTCTGGGTGTGAGAGTCAGCACGCTCCCTGTGCTGCTCTCCCTGCACCCAGAACATGTGGTCTTGTCGCCTCCCCAGCCTCCTCCTTGCTCTGCTGTTAGGGATCCTTCTGGGAGTTTGCTTAACTGGCTCTTTGCCAGGCCCTGGCATTGCCCATTTCCAGTTGTGCCACAAATACCGTACATGGCCTCTACCCACTGTCATGAAATGGGACCTCATGTTATCGGCATTGGCCATAAAGAGAGCCCCTCAGAGTCCTTGAGTCAAGTCTGTTCACTTGTGTCCTGTTCAGCATGGCTAAGGTTGTGCCCGTGTGGCCAGGAATGACCAAGTCAGCACTGGGAGCACCCAGGCCGTGAGGATTAACCGAGATGGCAGCTCCTTATGCAGCTGCTTGTCTAACTCCAGTGGCTCTGCATTGCTTTCCAAAGAAGGTGCCCTGGGACACAGGAGAGCAGAGATGCTGGCTCAGTTGGAGTGGGGATACTTCATAGCAAAGGCCCTGAGATGAGTGGCAATCCCAGGTCCCCACAGAGCATGAGTGAGGCGTGTGTGCTTTTTGAAACATGAGACAGTTACAGGCGTTGTTTTCTGTCACCATCTGAAATCAGGGCAGTGGTGGCCTTGATCCGAGGCCGAGGACAGCCGCGTGTGCCCACTTTCATCTGCATGTTGTTTCCTGCCCCAGGAGCTGCTGGTTGTGTACAGCTCTCATTCTCAGTGACCGTCACCTCAGGCATTTGTGTTTCCTCAGTGACTTTTTCAGCATCTCTGGGTTTTTAATGCTATAATCTGTGTGTGTGTTTCAGCTCAGAAATTGTTGGTCAGCGTGATCAGGTATTAAAATTGCTTTGCTTTGTATTAATGTTTGTGAACAAAGCTTAAAATCTTTGTATGCTTACATTTTGTTAGTGAAGTTTCATAAGCCCTTATGTTATTTAGTTTGTAGTTTAGGTAACCATGTAAATTTTAAAGTGCCCACAGTGTTGCCTGGCTGGCTTGGCTCAGCGGTTGAGCATCAACCTGTGATCCAGGAGATTGTGGTTCGATTCCATCAGGGCACATGTGGGGGGCATGTAGGAGGCAGCCGATCAGTGACTCTCATCATTGATGTTCCTATCTTTCTCTTTCCCTTCCTCTCTCTGAAGTCAATAAAAACATGTAATAAAATGCCCACAGTGTGTTTCAGAGGCTGACAATTGCTTGTTTTTCATTAGGTGCCAACATCTTCCTTACCTCGTCGGGACTAATCAAATTGGGAGATTTTGGATGCTCAGTGAAGCTTAAAAACAATGCCCAGACCATGCCTGGGGAGGTGAACAGCACGCTGGGGACAGCAGGTAGGCCCTGCTGGGTTTGTCCTGCACGAAATCCTCCAGTGCTGGTGACCAGCTTTCCCTTTGCCTCTGTCAGCACTGACCTGGAGAGCGGCCTTTCTAACCCGCCAAAGGACCAGATATTCAGGCCTCCTCCTATAAGACCACTTGTTGGACTGGGAAGTTACAGTTCTTTTAGGGCTAAAGGAGGGAGGAAAGGCCTTGTTCTTTCCCTAGAAAAACTTGTGTTTTACATTGGGTTTATTAAAAAGTATTCCAGTCAAAAGAACATTAGGTTTAAATGGTAAAGACTTGTTCTGACCGTTTAGTGTCATAAACTTTTACACCCTCCTTTGCAGGTTGTTTCATATTTGCATTGTGAATACAATTTATCTGAAAACTTCACGTTCAAAGACTGTCTTTCAGAAGATAATTTGGCCCTTAAAATGTCCATTCAAGAAATTGATTTGAAATACTTATTTTCAAGTTGCGCTATTTCCCGTTACGTAATTTCGGAAAAGTTTCCCCCTCAGCATACTGCTGTTTTTTGTGTGGAATGTATGTGACCGCTTGGCTCTGTTACGTGGTGCTGTGTTAATAACCATTCCTCTCTCCATATCTGTGACTTTTAAAGCCTACATGGCTCCGGAGGTCATCACTCGCGCAAAAGGAGAAGGTCACGGGCGTGCTGCTGACATCTGGAGTCTGGGCTGTGTTGTCATAGAGATGGTGACTGGCAAGGTGAGCAGAGCCCACCCGGAGGAGAACCTTCAGGAGGGCACCTTGCATTATCATTAGAAATACTGTGGACGCACTTCCTGCTCAATAGAGAACATGACTAGAGATGAAAATGTGACCTGTCGAAAGTACAGGGAGGCTAAGACAAGTGACGAGTAGGAATCAGGTATTTATAAGATACATCATTTAGAGAACTCTTTTTTAAAGTGAATGAAAACAAAGCTTGAATTAAAGCGTGGAGAAGCAAGCAGCTACAGAAAGAAATAAGAAGTTGAAAACTTAAGTCCACACCAAAACTGGCACATGACTCAACTTTATTCATAACTGCCCAAAGTTAGAAGCAGCCAAGGCCTCCTTCAGGAGGTAAATGGATAAACACACCAGTGATCCATGCCAGCGGATTATTAGGCAGCAATAAAAAATGCACTATCGAGCTGTAGAATGGTGTGGAGGAACCTTCACAGCATATCGCTGAGTGCAGGAGGCCGTCTGAAGAGGCCGCACAGTGACTGCACAGTTCTGACTACATGACACAGATGTACAAAGGCAGAGAGTGTGTGTGTGTGTGTTTATTTAGCATTATTTATAAAACAAAAAGGTTAGAAACCTCTTAAGTGTTATTAGTAGGAAATTAAATCAATATACAGCTATACTTTGCAGCTGCTGAAAAAGAGCACACAGAGTGCTTAATAAATGCTAGGTGATATTATTTCTATTAGCATTCACATAGAAAGATGGCCGTGGTTTTGCTCAGTGGCTAGAGAGTTGGCCTGCAAACTGAAGGGCCCCGGGTTTGATTCTGGCCAAGGGCATGTAACTCTGTTGCAGGCTCGATCCCTGGCCCCAGCCGGGGTGTGTGCAGGAGGCAACCAATTGATGTGTCTCTCACATCTCTCACATTGATGTTTGATGTTTCTTTCTCTCTCTCTCCCCTTCCTTTCCACTGTCTCTAAAAATCAGTGGCCATGGTATCTGTTATTTCATTGAAGCCATATTTCAGAGAAAGAGCGAGGACTCACAGGTCACAGTGCACTGTGCACAAGTAAGGATGGTGCACAGATCGCGGTCTTTCCCCTATGCGTTTCATTTTTCCCATGATCCTAATAAAATAATCTTTATAGTAATAGAATTGACAGTCAATCAGCAGGGTGGCATATGAAACATCCCTGACGATAATGTTGAATTCTGGTTTATTGACATTTTCATTTTATGTATTGCATTTTTTATTTGCATGATGATAGCATCTAGATTATGCTGGGCTGGCACCCACACAGGGCGGGCAGACTGTTTCACCCCCATTCACTTATACGTGGCCTATGGCTGCTTTCCCCCCACAGCGGGAGAATTGAATAGGTGTGACAGAGACCATGTGGCCCGAAAGCCTGAAATATTACTAGACTCTTTAAGTAAAGGTGGGCCAGCCCCTGATATGTATGTTGAGATGCTTAGAAACAGACTGAGAAGTGGTCATTTCATGGCCATGTCATGTTAAATATGCAAACCTGACCTTCTCTTTCCAGAGGCCTTGGCATGAGTACGAGCACAACTTCCAGATCATGTACAGAGTGGGGATGGGCCATAAGCCTCCAGTCCCGGAGCGGCTGAGCCTGGAGGGAAAGGACTTCCTGTCCCACTGCCTTGAAAGTGAGCCCAGGATGCGGTGGACAGCCAGCCAGCTCCTCGACCACTCCTTTGTCAAGGTGCAGACCGCTCGGTGGGCCTCTCCATGTCTGACTCCGGTTCTGTGTGTAGTGGGCACTCAGGAAGTTTGGGGGCCTAAGTATAAAATATCTATGACTGTATCTGAAGGGGACTGGAACGTTTAGCTGTGCCTGGCAATTCTGCGTGTGGCTTTTGTCTGGAAAATGTTCAGTGTGTTCCCTGGCTCGATCCACTTTGGTGGTGGTTGAGGTGCCCCTGGGACTGTTAAACGGAATTTTAAACGGACTGGGTGAGAGACCATCTTCCCTTTGAGAGTGTCGTCTGCCTGAGCACAGGTTAGGAATCGCTACCCTCCACTGAGAGTAGAGACAGGGTTCGTGATAACTCAGCATATGTCAGAGTTGTGATAATGGTGTGTGAGCCCTAATGGAAGGTCAGGTAATCCCAGATGCTACTTTTTCTAGAGCTGGATGTGAGCTGTTTGGTTTAGCCAGGTCAGGAATTGGGGTTGGGGTGTGGAAGACAGAATGGGAGAGGTGGAAGGCTCACTGCTGCGGGTTAAACCGTCTGGGAACTGTGTGTAAGTAGGTGGGTGCTGACAGCACAGGATGTGAAAAGCGCAAAGGATGAGGCTGGGAGAGTGGCAGGGCCATGGGAGGGAGTTTCAGTGTGTCGTAAGTGTGGCATGATTAAGGAGTGCTTTAGAACGCTCGCTCTGGGGGCAGGAGGCTCCTTAGGGAGCTGCTGATGGAGCGAATGGGCTGGGCGTGGGAGATCAGGTGTGAGTTACCGGGGATGCTTGAAAGCTCGTTGGGTGTGAAGGTGAGTCAGGGAAGGAGTGTAGGGTGGCGCTCAGACTGCTGGCTGCGGCCCCAGGTTACAGAAATTCGCCAAGGGCAGTTGGTTGGGGATGGGGTCAGGGAGATGGTAGTTACCTCTTGGGGAGATGAAGTTTGAGGTGTGTTTGGAAAGCCCGCTTGGGGATTTCGGTTGGGCGTTGGATATTTGGGGCTGGCACTGGAGAGAGCAGGGGTAGGGTACAGACTCAGGAGACAGAATATTTCCGGGAGAGTACTCGGGGAGACGGAATGCGGACGGAGCTGCAGAGGGAACGTGGGGGGCCTGCCAGGGAGCTTCTGATGCGGGGGGAGGTGCTGGGGTGACGTCCTTCCGGGTGGGTGAGGTTAGGGAACCAGGAACTGGATCTGCTGTTAGGGATTTGTAACAAAAGAAAAATGTGTTTCTTCATCGAAAAGTATAGACACAATTCAGATTGAATTGCTGTTGTACAAGTACATTCTTAGAAACACTCAGTGGCCAGTTCACGGGGCAGTCGCTCAGCACTGCTGTGACTCCTGCGTCATGAAGCACTCCCTGGGTGCCGGACGGCGCACCGGGACGCGGGATGTGGCAGGCCGCACGCTGTGAGTCTGTCTCATTGAGTGTGCGTAGGCTTAGCTCTCTCCTGCTTCCCCGCAGGTTTGCACGGATGAGGAATGAAGCACAGCCGCCTGGCTTGGAGCGTGTGCGCTCGGGAGACTCGTCACTACTGTATGTAATATTTACATGGAGACTGCTGAGGCGCAGCGGGAGCCTCTTCAGCTCCCCCGGCTGAAGCTGCACCGTGACGGGCGTCGCCTCGCCCGCTGCCCCTGCTGGCGTGACCTGCACGGGGCTCCCGAGGAGTGTCCATGAGGTAAAGAAGCTACATGCTAAGTGCCATTTCTACTGTACACGGATGTTGCCTCGTCACCCCATTCCTCGCGTGACAGACCGCGACTCCAGTGTAGTGTTTTGACCGTTCTTGGTTCAGAAGCAGCTGTAGTGTTTCCAGGCGTCCGGGCCTTGCTGTGACTCCTGTCTGTCGAGGGCACTGACTGTGAAACTGTACCTGTTGTTGCTGGCAAGCTGCAGGCTTGTCCTGCAAAAGGCTGATAATGAAATTTAAGAAAAAGGTTCTTTTTTCAATAAATGGTTTATTTTAGGAAAGTGCAGTTGCCTTATCTCTTAATGGTTATCAGCTTTGAGCCCATGTGACCTGACACAGGTCTTTTGCTTTCAGTCCCATGGTCCTGGGCAGAAGGGGTGGTCAGGCAGAAGGTGGGCCCTGGCTGGGCGTTGGTACCTGCAGGCGCTCGGCTCCTTGGTGAGGGGAAGGAGGAACGGAAGGCCGCAGATGGAGAAGGGCAACGGGTTTCAGGCAATTTTACATCAGCCAACAAGTGTACCAGGTAGGAGTCTAAGCCTTGCTGTCACATGGTGGGGGCTCAGCTTGTTTACACCAAGGTGCGAAGGTGCCCGGTCAGTGTAAATCCAGCTGGACAATCTCGCAACAGGAAACAGCTTTTCAGAATGTAAGTGCTCTAGTTAGTTTTCTAAAATAGCCCAGTTATGTGTAGTGGTGGAGGGCTTTCATTTCTTTTGGCTATTAAATTGTTTTAAAGGTTGATTATAAAGCTGAAACCTTTTTATAAGATCATGACTTAGTCCTTACGCAGTCACACTGTGTGCTTATCTCTGCCCCACTGTGTGTCCACAGGGCTGCCCTGAGCTGAGATGATGTTAGGCAGACAGGATGTCTGGGAAGCTTAGCACGCCCCTGGGATGGGCACCACAGGCATGCCGCGCCTTCCCACCCCCAGCGCCCTCCTGGCGAGCTGGGTGCACATCACTGGTCCCAAAGTGCCCAGCTGAGTGGGGAATGGAAGGATGGAGGGGTCTGTGTTACCACCACAGAGGAGCCAAACACTATTTTTTGGAGGCATAATTTAATCACCTTACCTACAGCGCCTTTCACTCTATCTCTGGCAGCCAGGGTTACAGAAAACAGCACCAGAGGAAAAAAGGGACAGCTCCCCTCACTCCCCATGCCTGCCCCCCGCACCTTGGACACCGGGTGTGGTCACAGGACAAGGCCGGCACTCAGCCGCACATCCTCACCTCGAGTTCTTCTCACACGCACACACACACACTCACACGCAGGGGAAAAAAGAACTGGACCCACTAAAGCATAGGGGAGGAGAGAGGAAGCACATCTCCCCCCATCCGGCAGCGCTGAGACCAGACTCCCTGCCTCCCCAGCAGGGGCTCCCAGCGTCCTCACCGGGTCCCACCGAGGGAGACGGCAGCGTGCACCAGTTCCCCAAGTCCCCTGGGGACTGAACGAGTCCTGAGTCAGTCGTTCTGCTTCTGCTTGCTGTCGATGTTGCCGTAGGCAGAGCCCTTGTCAATTTCCGTCACCCCGATCATCCATCGGACCCCCATGGAGGCTGCAGAAAGGGGGGAGGAGCCTGTGAGGACTGCGCATCTGTCTCAGGCCTCAGGAGAGCTGGCAAATCTGGGTGCCATCTCATCCTAGTTCCCCTGGAGCTCGGGCTGGGGCTCACTGGACCGAGTGACACCAAAAGGAACTGAGCAAGCCCTGGCTGGTGTGGCTCAGCGATTAAAGCGTCAGCCCGTGGACCAAAGGTTGAGTGTTCAATTCCGGGTCAAGGGCACATACCTGGGTTGCAGGCTTGCTCCCCGGTCCCATCTGGGGGGATGCGGGAGGCAACCAATCAGTGTGGCCCTCGTGCTCTCTCC